TATTTGCTTTAAGACAAACCATGTGCAAATTCATGTCAACACCATTGCTGAGTATCTTCTCTTTAAAACTGCAATGATCTAAAGACACTTTTAATAAAGCAGTTTGAGATCGCGATACCTTTGTGCAGTGTTTACCTCAGTAAGTTGACTGAGTGGACCTCTGAGCTGTAATGAGCAAATGGAGGCGGGGCTACTTTGCATATTCATTGATCTGCTTATATTCAAAATGAGGCAAGGGTGTAGTTACATTCAAGCTATTTTAAAGCATGAGAAAATGATTTTCACAAGAAAAAACTTTTAAATATGTCATTTTGATGATCAAAGAGAAGTTTTAAGGGATAAAATATTTGACTACAGGGGGACTTTAACAATACAGACAATATTGTACAGTATAGTAAATATCATTCATCACTGCCTGAAACTTCAGTTTGCAGTATCAGCAAATGTATACTGGACATAACACTTTTGAAAATCTCTTAAAAAAGATGAAATAATGATGCAAGAACTGTAAATACTGACTCTCAATACTCAAAAGCTGTGAAGAATTGCACAACTGTGTAGGCTAAAATTGGGGGCGGTATCTGAAGTACAAACACAACTGCCTTTAACTGCAGTGAAAAATCAATTTACTCTCAATTAAAAAAAAAAAAAACTAATCTTTGTGTTGTGTTTATTTATTTGGCCTTAAAGTTTGCATTTTAAATCTCAGTGTAATTCACATAACCAGGCAATGAATGACATATGTTCTTGTTCTCCTCATTTCCTTCACTGAGCTGGGCCAAGTCGATTTAGGGTGACGAGAAAGCCGCAGTGATCCATCTCTAGCATTTCAGCTTCTTTGACTCTACGATCAGGAGGCCTTGGCCTGTAACACATTAAAATCGCTAGCAGATCTTCATGATGCACAAGAGCTTATTTAAACACTCCTCTATTGCAGTGGTTCCCAAACTGGGGGGCGCGACCCCTGGGGGCGGTGCGGAGCTATGAAAAGGGGGGTGCAGCAAGGCTGAGGGATAGTGTATAGTTAGCAGATTATTTTGCAAAAGAAACTTCTGCAGGGTGATAAAGACTACACTGCGTAATTTTCCCACTTATCATGAGGCCACTTGCCTGATATGTAAATAATTGAACCCAAAATATTAATTTGACATATTTTAATTACAGTACCCGCTTGAGCGAGTTATCAGTTGTGGTTGTATCAATACCAGACCACTAGATGGTGCGATTTATGACTGGATTCTACGAACCACTCTGTGTTTTCCGCATCGCGGCTGTATGTCTCATATTTTAGAGTAGTCAGTGCAATTTGGGAAAGAAATCAATTAAATCTGAAAGTGGACGTGTAAATATTCAAATGTAACCCCCTTTGTAATCGTTAACATTTTCATAAGTAACTGTAATTTAATTACACATTTTTTCTTAGTAACTGTAACTGATTACAGTTACATTTATTTTGTAATTAAATTACGTAACGCCGTTACATGTAACTAGTTACTCCCCAACACTGCATGTAAGTTACAAGTTTCTGAAAATACTGCCAGTGTCAGGTACGTAAAGCAGATGATGAATATACTTAAGATTCACAAATACAAAAACAATGTGTGCGCGACGTGATAAAAGCAAATAGAACCATCAGTTCGCATCAGTTGATGCGACGCGAGTCACGCAACACGACAAATCCATGACAGTAAACTGATGCCCCGTTCTATTTCTGATGAACTCCAGCGCTCTGACACAAAGGACAATTGGATTTGCAATGTTCACTTTGTCACGTCCAGTTGACATAAGCTGTTGTTTGTGGCCGTCGTGTCCAGTGTGGTGAAAAGACTAGGCATATCTTGCATTTAGATTCACCAGTATGAAGCCGAACAAGTTAAAACGGCAAGTAGGCTGGGTTAAGTATTAGGCTACTATGCCAATCACAATATTTCAAATCAAATATATACTTTTTCAATCAATGTCATGTCTGGGAGGGTGCATGTATATTCATAAGAGAATCATGAAAAAATAGTTTCATGAAAAAAAAAGAAGCTGTTTTCAGCATTAAAATGATCAGAAATGTTTACTGAGCAGCAAATCAACATATTAGAATCATTTCTGAAGGATCACGTGGCACTGAAGACTGGAGTAATGATGCTGAAAATTTAGCTTTGATCACAGTAATACAGTATATGTTAAAACATTCAAAAAGGCCTAGATATTTAAAATTGACACATTTTACGATATTACAGTGTTTACTGTATTTTTAATAAATAAATGCAGCCTTGGTGAGCATAAGAAACTTTCTACAGGGGCTGAAAATATTTTTATCTACAAAAGGGGGGCCTGGCAGAAAAAGTTTGGGAACCACTGCTCTATTGAGTGAGGCAGGGCTGGACATCAATCTCAATTAGTTATTTGGAAGGTGGATAAAAAGCATGACAGTCCTATAGACTTGTTTATTAGGACATATTTTAAAAGCTCAACTGACATATTTTGTCTATGTAAGAGTGCAGAAATACGAAAACAGCTAGATCACGTTAGCATGATGGCTAGCATTGCTAACAAAAGCGTAAAGGCATCTTTTCTGGTTCTTCCACATGATTTTGACCCATGGTTGAAGTTAGCATGATGCTAACGTTGCTAACAACACCTTAAAAGCATCTTTGCTGGTTCTTCCACCAGATTTAGACAAATGGTGGAAGTTACCATGACATTGCTAACAAAAGTTTTTTTTCCCACATGATTTAGACCCATGATTAAAGTTAGCATGATGGCTAACATTGCTAACAACACCTTAAAGGTATCTTTTTTGGTTCTTCCACATGACCCATGGTTAAAGTTAGCATAATGGCTAACATTGTTAACAACACCTTAAAGGCATCGTTGCTGGTTCTTCCACAAGATTTCGTATTATGGTGGAAGTTAGCATAACGGCTATCATTGGTAAGAACACCTTTAAGGCATCTTTGCTGGTTCTTCCACAAGATTTCGTACTATGGTGGAAGTTAACATAATGGCTATCATTGGTAAGAACACCTTTAAGGCATCTTTGCTGGTTCTTCCACAAGACTTAGACCAATTAAAATAACGGCTAACACTACTAGCATCACCTTTAAAGCATCTTACAATTAAGACAAGTTTTTCAGTTGATTTATTTTTCCCGGGCATTTTCTGAGAGGTAAAAGAGAGTAACTCACTCATTGCCCCAGTCCAGTCGTACAGTGATGTGGCGTTTGACTTCACGGACTTGATCCTGGGTCAGGTGGCCTGAAAGCAGTTGTCGCCTCAGATCAATCAACTCACTCATCACGTGACGGAGTTTGTAAAAGAGGTCGACTTTATGCTTCTGTAGAGAAAAAGAAAAAAAAAAGGCAAATATTTATTTCATCCATCCACTCAAGACACACTAGATGCAGATTTAACCAGGCAAATGTACAGTGGTCATATGTCACACATACTATAGTGTAAGTAAATGAATATTATGCAAGTACATCCAGTGCAGATTTCAATACACACTTACTGAGGTTTAGATAAATAAAATGACACTGAACTACAGAATATCTTAGTACTTTAAATTTACTGGTTCCTGCAAGCATTACCAACATACATCTACCATGGCATTTTTATGGTACTTCAAGGTACTCCAAAGAATGCCATGGTATTTCCATGGTACCATGTCCAAAATAACATTTCCATGTCCAACAATCACCAGATCACAGTACGTCACTTCTCAGAAGTGCCACGATCCAATAAACGTGACAAGTTTAATTGGCGAAAACTAGAAACTCGAAAACCAACTGACCAATAGTAACAGACACCAATATGGTTAACACACTGGTCGAAGTAAACCCAACGAATGTCTGTTGCAGTTGCTCTTCATTTGTCAGTGCAGTGTAAATTAGCCTTGAAGTGACAGTCACACTAACAGCATTCATTTCGGCAAATAATTATAATATTATTTATAATAATATAATAATTCTCAACCCTGCTCAACTTTGTTTTATGTGTCAGTGAAATCAATGACTTCTGGTCGCTTTGCTTCTACAAAATCACTGTCAGTGTGAATGGGATGTTATGCAGCCTTCACATGATGTTTGAATTACAGTACTGTAGATAATCAAAGCCACAGACAGTCAAAGAAGTGGAACAATCACTGAGCATCATCTAAGCACATGTCCCAAACCGCAAGGCTTCCCCTCCAAGTTTGTGTATGATGGATGATAACGACTCTTCAGACATGCAGCAGACAGATCTTTGCATTTGTCACACCAACATGTTGTGCCGGCTGTGCGTGTGGTCTCCAGTGCCCTCCATCACCGAAACATGTCAGAACTTGAGTTTGACATGCTCTTGAATACAAAGAAGATTTATGTGGAGTTTACACAAGAATGTTCATTAGATACCAATCACAAGATACCCATATATGCAGCATGAAGTATCTGTCACTATGTCATTCCACAGTCTGTTCATGGTGAAATCGAATGGGATTTGGACACTCATGTAAAAGCCACATCCATCAAATTCCCTGTTGTACTCACTTGGACTTCTGGCACTGGAGTAGGGCTGCAGCTATCGATTATTTTAGTAATCGAGTATTTTACAGATTATTCCATCGATTAATCGAGTAATCGGATACGAAGTAATTTTTCTTTATTAAAGAGCAATACTAAATATACAAGAGATAATAAGATAGGTCTCTTAAAATAAACAACTAATTTGTTTTCTTTTTAGAAAAATTTACATTTTTATTGCTGAAATTGCAAACATTAATAACCGTGAAAACTAAACCCATTTAATGCATTTAATTGCCAAATGACATTCAAAATGCAAATACAAATATATCAATAAAAAAAAATTATATAAAAAAAAACTAAATAAATAAAAATACTAAAATCAATTTCACATTACTTTAAAAAAGGTAAACAGTACAAACTAAAACTAAGGCATAAATCTAAATATTAGTAACAAAATAATAATAATACCTAAACATTGCATTTGTCGTGCAACTTTACTTTCAAGTTTCAGCCTAACTAAAGCTCAAACATGACATAAGCTTTACTGTCTTCTTGGAAGGCTTTGTGGCTTTTGTGAGAGGCAAAAATCAGTGGACAGGAAGGTAACTTGGAACAAGAACAAGAGACCATACACAATTTCTAAACACATTTTTCTGCAACATGAAATTAGAGTTATTTGGAGAATAAACCCTCTTAAATGTCCCTTGACGTACTGGTGTGTGTGTGTGTGTCTGTGTGTGTGTGTGTGTGTGTGTGTGTGTGTAAAACTTGTTTTTGATATCCTTCATATTCTGTGTGCTGGTCAGTTCACAGCAGTGAATAGAAATGAATCTGTTCCAATAAGTTTAAATTGATTTGAACATTTTATGGGCATTTTTACATTTATAAAGCCTTTTTTTCTAAATGTGTATCATATTTTGAGTCAAATTCTTACATTTAATCAGTCAATTAGAATAATAAGACATTTGGGCTGTTACCAAACAAATGATATCAGTATCAACAAAATTCATCTTTGCAATGCAGAGGAAACACAGAAGCTGCATCTGAAGAGGCATTTAGATGAAGGCCTATTTACACTATTTAATTCAGCTCAGAGGGACATGAATGCATTTAACCTGCAGTTACAAATGAATAAATAATATTTTGTTATTTTAAACATGAAACATTGAATACTGATATTTACAATTATTTTAAAAACGAAAAGATACTTTAAATGTTAAATTAAAACCGCCAGGAGGTGGCAGCAAGTCACTGTTAAGAAGTGATTCATTGCGATTGAACCGAATCATTTAAATGTTTGATGTTGCTTAGAGACGCAAAACAGCGTTGTGGCTGTGTTTGGGATTATTTTTGTTGGCGAAATAAAGCAAAAACAGGCAATATAGTGTCTAAAACGTAATTTTTTTTAATATTAACTTCTTGTTTATTGAATTGTTGCATAAAATCAGTATCACATTTGTAATCATGCTGATTTTAGAGATGAAAACTGTCACTCTTCGTGTGATATTGACTAGCTTTCTTTCTGTGGTATTTTTATGCACAACGGCACTTAGTCTTTCACAAAACATAGCTAACGTAGGAACATCATAACTAGCCACCATATTGATTTACGGTCTTAAATATGTTCAGCGCTTGCTTTTTTTTTTTACAGTCTATGGTCCAGCGTTTATCGGGTTGTGCGTCAGTAATAATGTTCTGTGGGGAAACACAGTGTTCCGTGTGTAGTTACAGTATGGACTAAACGAAGCCTTGAGGCAAATAATTTGCCTCGATGATTTTTTGTATTCGAGTTACTCAAGGTATTTGAGGAATCGTTTCAGCCCTACACTGGAGACTGATAGCTTCCCCCTACTCATGGCGGCATCAATAATTACTCCTTCCTCATGCAATCACAAGCAGAACAGTGTGAATCATTTCCTGTTAGTCTAAATGGTGAGTTTCTTGGAGAAGAATCTCAATGACCAGCTGCCGATCGCACCATAAGTCCACTTCTTGGTGGGATGAGCAGAGCGAAACGATTCTGGTGGAAACTGAGACCAAATCTTCAGTTAAAGACCAGTATGAATTTCCATGCAGGTCCAAGCTGGTTTATGTCACTTAACAAGCCAAAAATGCAAGACTACCCTGATCAGCCAGCTTCACCAAAAATACTATATTGGTCCACCAGCTAAACCAGTACCAAACAAGCACTAAGCAGCATAAATCAGGCTGGAATATCATAGTAATCCATACGCGTCTAACTAGCATGGAATGCTGGAGTGTTGGTTTTCTAACCAAGGTCAGCCATCTTCATCAAAAGGACTATGCTGGTCCACCAGCTAGACCAGCCTCAAACCAGTATTAAGCAGCTTGTTGGGGAAACCAATGCACTGGCATCCCAAGGTAACTAGACAAGTATGGATTTCTACATTAGTCCAAGTTGGTTTATGCTGGTTAGTGCCTGTTTGTTGCTGGTATAGCTGATGGACCTACATAGTCTTTGTAGTGAAGTTAGTTGACCAAGGTAGTCTTGATAGTTTGGAATCTAGTCATCTAGTCACCTGACAATCGACTAGTCTGCTAGCAAATTAAACTAGTGTCTTCTGGGGGAATTTGAGGGTTGAAAGTTAGAGACATAACAACTCTCTTTCAGACGCTGCATCTCTAAATTTAGCTACAGCTATCAAAACATCACTTTTGTAACAAACTCACAGCCTTCAACAATAAATTTCAAGACAATTACTGTCAAGTATGTCAAGTTAAATTCCTCAAGATGCTTGTATTCTGTTGCTCTCATTATATTTGGATAACCCTCGACTGTTACGCAGTTCACTGTGGTCAAATTCTGCTGCTCATGGACTTGGTACAAGCTAAAACTTTATCAGACTCCTGACTGTATATCGGAGATATTACTCAATTTGATCAATGAGATATTTTTAGGCAATTCCATTTGCCTGGATCTGTGGAACAAAATGAATTAAAGACGTAAATATGTGTCCCTTCTCTGGACCTCTACAAAGAATTTCATACATGAAGATATCTAGTTTAGACATTATGTTTCTGCTTAGTTTTTTTCATGTCTTCCATGTGAGATATTTCTGGATTAAAGTAGATTTTTGTACACAGTGTGGGGTCATCCTCCCTTCAGTGCTCTTGCTCTCTTACCATCCACGAACATGGCAATCCCTTTACAACAACGACACACAGATTTATCAGCCTCTGCAGTATAATGTGATTATGATTGTTTTAAGTTGGCTGTCGAGAGACCTATATCAATCCTTGAGCTTTAACTGAAATAAAAACTTGGATTGACAGCCTCCCCCACACCCCAGCGGCAAGAACCTTGCCTCCTCTGTGGTAACTGAAAGATGGATTGCATACAGTTCACAATCATCAGGATCCTCTACCACTTACAGGGTCCCTAGTCGATTAACGAGTACTTTAACGATTGACATTGATATTTCAGTAGGGTATTCAGAACAGAGACTTCAAACGTCAACAGAGCATTTTGTTTGGAAAAGAAAGCTCATGACTGCTGAGTATTTTAGAAGGGAACCTCTAGAAGCTATCCACAGATAATGTAAATGATGGTAAAACCAACAAGTGCCAAAGTTGTGACAAACATTCTGAGCAAATAAAGTGTTTTTAAAGCGCCACAAACCCTGCCAGTTTATCCTACCAGAACTCTGTGAATCTATTCACTTTAATGTAGAAGTCCCAGAGGGGGAAAAAATGTAAAGGTTTGGAAAAGTGGTTGCAAACTGTTGCTTTTCAATTGTTCTCTGAACAAGCCATTCACTGAGAAATGAGAATTTCAGAAAATTGGAACAGTTGTACTTTATTCACTGTATTT